GCCTCCTTTTTATCCCAATTTCCCAGCCATATCTCCCACTCCCCTTCCCCATTGGCTGAGGTATTCGGAAGGTGCACACTTCCCAATCCAGCTTCTACATGTCCCCCTTGCTACACACCTCACCCTTCTATAACACAGACACATGACCATTAAAATGAGCTTTAACTTCACCCTGAGTGGGAAAATCAATATTGCTAAGTGTCTTAAGTCTTTGTTCTTCTTCTCGAAGTTCAGGAATTTCGCAGGACCTTGTCTGAGCAGTGGTCCGTGTCAAGGAAGAACATTTTCTGAAACTGATAGTTTCTCCACTCACTTCCTTATCTACAAGTCACAGGCCTTATCTACCACCAGATTCACACAATCTGTAAAGAAACATGCCTCTTATTTCTTTCTAGGTTAAATTAATTAGGATGTGGAAATAGAGATTGGTTGGGTTTAAGTCCAGAATATGTGGGAATTCACAGAATTTGGGCAAGAATGCAAATAAATCAATGTCCAAAGATGTAAAGGGGAGTTAATGAAATGTGGGGGGTGGGGAGCAGGTAGGATTTTCTTTTTCTCTTCTCTTCTGCTTTTTCCTCTTTTTCCTCCAGGGAAAATGGCAGTGGTGGCCTTGGTAGCTTTGCTTGCCTCTTTCTGTGGGGATCATGATGGCCTTGGTGATCGTGGAGATGACTGTAACCTTCATTTCTTCATGGCTCAGACAATCCTGGTGGCCACTGCCAGGGCTGTAGTGGCCAGGAGGAGCCCTCTGAGATGGGACGGGGCCCTGGAGATGTTCCTGCCTTGGAGGAAGAAGAGGGGGATGAGTGGTCCATGTAGGTGAGGGTGTAGATGGGGGTCAGAGAGGGGTCAGGGATTACAGGAGTACAGGGGGGGGCCATGAGGGGGGATCAGGATGGATGGAGGACCATGGGAGTGGGGATCAGGGGGGGTCAGGGGGTGTGTCAGGGCTTCAGAGGGGTTGGTAACACAGGGTGAGGAGAGATGGGGGCCTTGGCTGGTAGGAGGGTTGGGGGTGGTCAGGTTGCCAGGAGGGAGATTGGTGGTCAGGGGGCCAAGGGTGTTTAGGGATGATAGGGTGTCAGGGGGGCAGTGGGGTAATACAGGGAGCAAGGGGTTTCAGGGGGGTCATGGTGGGCTTTAGGACTGACAGTCGTCGGGGGTATACAGGGGGTGCTATGAGCAGTGTCAGAGGGGTGCCAGGGGGGTCAGGATGGTCCCAGCCCACCTGTATTGAGCACACAGGGCCGCTCCCCACAGAGCTGGTCTGCAGAGGGGAGGCACAGAGTCAGCACAGGGTGGTCCCTGTCTCTGTCCCTTTCCCTGTCCCTGTCCCTGACCTCCCCTGGCACGGGCATCCCTGTCCCCTCCCAGATGTGGTGGTCCCCATCCCTGTGCCATGCCATGGGTGTCCCTGTTCCTGTCCCACATCACCTGTGGGTGTCATTGTCCCCTGTGCCTCATCATGGGTGTCCCCATACCCACAGTGGGTGTCCCTGTCCTCCAGGTTTTCCCCATGATGTCACGTCGTAGCCACTCGCAGCTGTATCTGCTGAAGGTCCCGCTGGAGCGGAGCTGGATCAATGCCCTGTCTCCTTCATGGGTGACACTGGTGACCTCGAAGGTCTCGAAGGGTGGGATCAGCACCTCCTCCTCACTAGGATTGGAGGAGAATTCTCGGATGTCTACGCCGTAACACGTCTGCACCTGGAACATCGTGTCTGTCCCAAATTGCTGAGCGATCTGTTTATGCAGCGATGTCGATGTGAAGCGACCGAACCGGACGGTCTCACCACACCGCCCCTCAAACCGGACGCCACGCACCCCCCGGAACACAAAGCAGAGTATATAACATAAGCTTTTCTCCCAAATTGGATTTCCTGGCCACTTGGATGACGAGAACCATCACTGCTATGGCCCACATTCATCTGGACCAATTGTGGCCATGTAGAGTTGTTTTCAAGAGCACCCCACAGGTCTCCTGAAATCTCCCCCACAAAGGAGGCCCCAAAATGACCTTTGATTTGGACTCCTGAGGAAGGACAGGATTTCTGTAACTCAGAGATGGCCCTGATGTTCACATCTCCCATGGGACTTCCTCTCCTTTGAGCTTATTGTGTACCAGTGACAGCACCAGGCACTGGGTGTTCTAGCTAAAATCCAGCTACCCAAAGAAGTGGCCATACTACAATCCAGGGCACACCAGCTTCGGGATAGAAAAATCCGTTTGGGAAATAGACTCACATTAAAGGTGCACGAGAGGTTTTGCAGCAAAGCATTCTGGTGTTAATTCCTGAGAAATTTTTCTGGCAATTTCACAACCAGAAGTGAGGCCTGGATAGAGTTGGGCAGACGGAAAATTGGCTGCTTATCTAAAAGCCCAAAATAAAGAGGCTGGGTGGGTGAGAGGTAACTCCCAATAACCACGTCAGGCCCTCCCCAAATGATGCTGCAATTTGTCAAGGAGAAAAGCACCAGCGATGCTCTGGGGAATCGATGCAATGGGGGCCCGTCTGTGGCCTCAGATCCTCAGTGTCCAAAGGACAAAATTTTCATGTCTGTTACAGAGCAATGTCCAATATGTTTTCAAAAGATCCCTTTGAATTAAAAATCATCACCTCCAGGCATCACTGAAAGAGGAAACAATCCCAATGATACCTGGCAAATGGATTTTCAAAGCTTCCACACCAACAAGGATTCGGGTATCTCCTGGTGTTGGTGGATCCCTTTTTTGGGGCTCCAGAATTTCTCCTGCCACATCAACAAGGCCAGGGAAGTCACCCAGGTAC